TGCCTGGGCTAATTATAAGTCATAAGTTCAAAGAGAAAGTTAGTCTGTCCCTAAAAGTGAAGTAGGACAAAAACATAGATTTTTCTTGAAATCAGTAAAGGAAGAGGATTTTAATACATTTTCATTTTTTCTGTTAGTTTTATGTTATATGAGTTCTGTTTTATGAACTTAGTAGCTAGGAGTGTCCTAATATAAATAACATTTATTTGTTAAAATATGAACAAACTGTGAGCATTCTACCACAATCTCCTCTTTGGTCAAGGGCCATTCCTTATGTTTGTGTCCAGCCAGACCAGTGTATAGTGGCAACCTCATCATCAGGTACAGCATCCAGTTAGCTTGATAGTGTCCCACTCTTAGAATATAAGCAGCTAGCTAAGGATCACCAGAAATTTGAAAAGTTTCTAATAAGAAAGATACAAAAACAAACAAGTAAGAGCACACAAACACACACGCAATTAAAAAACCCAGAAATATATAATTTGAAGAAAACAAAAATCTATGCAGAGAGAAGAACAAAATAGGAAGAAATTATCATTACTATCCTCAGTGAGAGAAGATATGAAGTAAGAATAAGGATACTATAAAAAATAAACAGAAAATTTCAAATATAGCAGAATGAAAGATTAAATAGGATTGGAAGGAAAGTTGAGGAAATCTCCTTTGTAGCAAGTCCAAAAGACCCCAAAAGAATGGAAAATAAGAGAAAAAAGACACGAAAATTAAGAAACTGTTTTAGAAGGTCCAACATCTGGATAATAGGAGTCCCAGAAAGATAACAAGAAAATAAAAGTGGACAAAATTGGAGAAATTATTTAAGACAAAGTCTCAGAATTGAAAGCATAAGGTTCTAAATACAAAGAGCCCACTAAGTGTCCAGCACAATGACTAAAAATAGAAGACTCACAAGTGGGAACTTCATTGTGAAATCTAAAAATTTTGGAGGCAAATAAAAAATCCTACAAGTTTCCAGCATGAAGAAAAAAATTGGTTTCAAACAAAGGCTCAAGTATCAAAATGACACCAAGTTTCTAAGTAGTGACTTCAGAAGCTAAAAGACACCTGATCAATGTCTTCATTATGAGGGAAAATAATTTTCAATTAAAATTTCATATCCAGTTAAATTATTATCTGTGAAGCTAATGTGAGGATAAAATATTTCCTGACATGCAAGGTGTTCTGACATGCATTTTCTAACAGGTCTTAAAAAGTTAGTTTTCATTCACCTTTTCTCAGGAAGCTACTAGAAGACATGCTTCTCCCACAAAAAGATAATGAGCCAAAAGAGAAACACAAGAGACCCATGACATAGGGGATCTAACATAGGAGAGAGGTAAAGGGAGTCATCTCTGAAGAAAACAGTCAGGGAGGATACACACAGAGGAATGTGACCAGTTTGTAACAGATGAGAAGGCTGAGAAGGGAAAGGCAGCTTCTGACGTCTGTGAGTACAGCTGGGCCTTGGTGCTCTCCCACTGAACACAAGTTCACAGAACATCATCATCAGACTAGACCGCTCTGTATTTGTCTTTATCACAGACAAAAACATGACCATTGTCCAAACCACAAAATACCACATATGCCCATCTCACAGTCTTCCTTACCAGTTACAGCTTCAGCCTCAATCTAGGCTTTATTTTTCCTAGCTTAAGATTTATTAAGTTTCCCAACCAAAGAATTACCCTCACTTTCTGACAACATCCAAATCTAGGGTGAAGACCCAATTTCTTAAACCATCCCTCAAACATATAATGCAAGCCCAAATCCTGTATATCCTTTCTAATACCCTCTGCTGAGATACCCTACTATTCCCCGTGGTATATGTTCTCCCTGACTGCAATGAGTAATATACTCAACTCATTCAATCGCAAGTCTTTGGCTGGAGGTCACTGCCAAGTCTCAGGAGTGATTTCCTCAAGATTAAATGAATGGACCACCAAAGGTGTTTTAATGTACTAAGAGGAAATTTATACAATTTCAGAACAGTTTGAGGTTGAACTAATGATAATGACACAGAAAACTACAAATAAGAAGCCAGATGTTTATACATTTCTGGGAACACAAAATTTTGTAAGAAAGGATAAGGTAATTATCTAACATTATATGACTCCGGTGTGAATAACCTTTATGTATTCATAATAATGTGAATATCAAAATTTGAACTTGTTAAAATTGTGGCATGGGACTATTCAGTGTATGGAGGGACAAGAAATGTGTGTATTGAACAGGGGTATAGCTTAATCCTTACCTTTTTAGAGTGAGAAGTAAAAAAGGTCTAAAACTAAAAAATCAAGGAGCAGTGTTATTAGCACACTTAGGCTGTCTTTCCATCCCTGCTCAGCTGGGTGAGAATGGTCTGTGGGCCTGGAAACACTTCCTCACCAGCCTGTGCTGGTCTCACCACCTTGTGTGGGTATTTCTTTCCCTGTTTCAGGGACCATGACTACTCCTTTGTTCTGCTTGAGCTTGTGTGTCATTGGCCCTCAGGCATGGCTTTCAGCATTTCAGACTCTACAAGAAAGGGGTCAAGATTCCTTCCACTGTGGTATGACATTTGTGAGCACCGCCTGATCACCCCGAGTGGCCGCCAGGAGAGACTGGTGGCCACGGGGGACCAATGTCCACCATTGAAGCTGATCTTGCTCTGTCTCTTCCTTACGTAGGTGAAGTGTTGTTCCATCCAGTGCTTCACTGTGTTGTGCTTTCCTTGGTGACTCTAATTCCAAGATGCAATGGGCCTCCTCCTGGGAACTGGTAAGTGGTGCATGGCGTTCTGCTCCCTTGGGACTGATGCCTGCACGGAACTCTGCTTGACTTGTGCTATACAGGAAGTGCCATATTTCCTTGGTTAGAGGATTCTGTTGTTGTCGTCACACTCTTGGACATGGTTTTATGTTTAGAAAGAGTCACAATACCCCAGCCCTTAAACATGATGGTGAGTGTCAGAGTAAAACCCCCAGTGTCCCTGGGGGGACTGTATCAAAGTGTAGATATGGGGTTTTATTTTTCTTCAGTGCCAAATGGAAGTCAGTAGAAGCCATGATTAAATGCAGAGGTGTGCTGTATGGGTAATATGATTTCCTGAGTGTGATGTCTTTGCTTAAGTATTCTTCCACATTCTAATTTGTCATGTTTTGCCTAATCCAAGCAAAGACTCTCTCCCTGTGGCAGGACCACTTCTTCTTTTTTAAAAAATCAGAATCATACATATTTCTTGATACAACTTGACCAACTGCATTTCAACATATGGAAACAAACAGAACTCACCCTACTTTAATAATATAACTAATGTGGCACTTAAGGCTTTTTCTTGCTTAAAAGCTAAGAATCTTGTTTACATTTCTTTGAAAGGAAAAACTATAATGAAGACAAAGTAATGTCAAAGTGATAGGCCAAACAGAGAGGAGATTATAATTACAGACTTCAGTTCAGTTTAGGATGTGTATGTATGTTGCTTCTTAAATGATATTTTGAGGAGTAGAGATCATTGATCCACCTGGTTTGGGATCTACATCCCCCTCGTCTGATCCCTGAACAGCAAGTTAAATTGCCCCTTCCGGTCATCTGTTATTCTTTTTCCCTCCCTTCTGATTTTTCTTTTATTAGTTACATGTGAATACATTTCCAGACTACATTCACTGACCAAAAAAATTTTTGCCACTAACATTTTTTTAGTCATTTAAGCCATTATCTTATGTGGCACCTTTTTTGTTTTTTTGAGGTAGGCA